AAAAAACATTTTTTTTTTTTGTCAAATAATGCGACAACTTTCCAATAAAAGGATGAGTTGAAGGTGGTGTGACTTTCATTTTTTTTGGGGGGGGGGGGGGGGGGGGGGCTGCATTACATGAGAGACATCTCCATTAGAAGGTAAGATAAAGATCACTATTTTACATCATTATAGTAATAATAATAATAATAATAATAATAATAATAATAATAATAATAATAATAATAATAATAATGGATTGCATTTATATAGCGCTTTAGTGAAATAAATGTATATAAAAAACACTTGTATGTGCATGAATAATTTAAGAAGTATATTTGATTGTTTGTTCTACTTTTTAAAATTTATTTATACAGTAAAACTGTTAATTTTCATTCGTTGCCTCAAGGCAACACTGTGGAGTTAGCCTAATTTTTTTCAGGCAAAATAATGCATATGTGTGTAGAGATGTGTTTGTGTGAATTTATAGGATCATAGTCACTGTTTTTTACTTTACAATCTACTGATAATTACAGGACATGGACGTAAAAACCTTTTATGCAAGGAAACCAAGGGAATGTGTACACACTCACATTGTGATGTCTCGCCTACTTTATGGGGACAAATGGCAAGGTAAATCATTACATTTTAGGGTGAAGGCTTGAGTCAGGTTTAGGGTAAGGTTAGGGTTAGGTTCAGGCAGGTAGTTGTGATGGGTCAGGATAAGTCTCCAGGAAGTGAATGGAAGTTAATGGAAAGTGATGGAAACACAACGTATGTGTGTGTGTGTGTGTGTGTGCGCACACGTGCATGGGGTTAGGGTCAAATGTCGGATGTATTTTGGTGGTTTATTGTTCTGTGAAATGTTTACATTGTTTATTTGTTGTTTGATTATTGGTTCATCCTTGTTGTACTAATAAAACGTATTATAGAATAACTTGGTTTTGACTACCCTTGTCGCACAATGTTACCTTGAAGCAACAAACCAATAACTGTTTGGGGGGAGGGTGTCAAACTTTATGATTGATATATTATTAGGGACCCTAAAGCTCCCCCAAAATACGGTGAAATATTTTTTTCCCCCACAAAATTAAATAGTCATGCAATAGAGGGTTTTAATAAATCCCTTTGAAAAGTATTTATTATTTATCTACAGTACAAGAAAAAAAGTCATTTATTTTCGTTACATATTTTATTTTATTCAATTATTTATTTACGTTCCGCGACTTTATCTCGTAAAACAATGACGTAATCCTTTGTCTTGAACAAAGGGTGTATTTGTTTACATGCACTGCTTTGTCCGGCGCTGAGGTCTGGTTTCTGTGTGCGGGGTTTGCTGCGGGACGACGCTGATGTTTTGCACAATTCCGTGACTGTCACAAACTGGGACCTGATCGCGCCTTCAGTGAAATTCAAAGGTTCATTTCTCAGGCTTGAAGCCGTTAGTGAACTGAAGCTGAAATATGACCAGATGATTTATGACGACTCACAGAGACGCAGATTTTCAGTGTTTTACACTCGAATTGCTCTCCTTTCTCTTTGCCGGCCAGCAGGGCGGGGACTGTCTTCGCATTACAAACAACAGTAACAAGGGTGTGTTTGATTTATTAACTGCTGAGCCCCGGAGGATTGTAGACTAGCGACATCCTGCAGGACCAAAGGGATTGTTTCCCTTTTTTTATTAAGTTCCATATACATCAATATTTCTTCAGTTGTAATACAAAAAAAAAAGGAAAAGAAAATCAAATCAAAATCTGATGATTTTTTTTTGTGTTTTTTTGTTTTGTTAAACAAACAGGGCAGGAACCTTCAAATACATCATCGTTCTCAGTCACTACTGCAAAGCAACTCATTTACAATAGCTTATTACTTTCAGTAGGTTATAGAAGTTTAACCAAGCAGACTATCGATGTCCAGATAATTAGTACTTAAACGATCTTTCATGCCACATCAGACTAAACAATGAGTGGAAATGGGAGAAAAAATATTGCTCCCCCTTCTCATTTAATTTAGTTTTGAAGTTTAGATTCAATAAACTTATATAAATGTTTAAATTAAAAGAAAAAAATGCAGTCTTTATTTAATTATTTTATTTCTCATATATTTCATTTTCAGCTCCCAGTTTAATAAGAAAATTATCTTGAACCGTTTCCTTAATGTCATAACTGGAATTTTCTGTTGCAATTTAAAATTCATCTAATAGTTTTTAGTTCTTATCAAAATTTATACTTTATAAACTTCGTTTTATAATTTTTCAAAAATATATATTTTAATTTAACTTTGTATCTTAAATATTTCTTGTTTTCTTTATTGAAATTTTTTTTTCTTGAATCTGATTTAATATTTTTAAAAGCTTGTGTTTTATATTTTAACTTTTTCTTTTACATTTGTCGGTCATTTGGAACAAATTTAATAACACCTCAATGCACCCTGTCACTTTTGTATACCACGACATATGAATGAATACATCCTTTTGTATTCATTTATTTTCTATATTTATCTTTATACCTCTATATCTATCTATTTATCTTAATATTTATCCATCAATATCTATTTTTCTACACTAATTTTATTGAAGTGCTTGATGTTTGTTGTATAGTTTCTGCTATGACAGCTCAATTTCCCTCTCGGATTAACAAAGTCTCTGATTCTGATTCATGTTTATTTTTGTTTTACATTTTGTTTTGTTTTAAATTTGTCCACTTTTTCTATTGTTTATTTAAGCTTTTGTTAAACAGTTTGTTTTATTTTATTATTGTTTATTTCGTCCAAAGTTTGGGTATTTTTGTTCAGGCAGACAGGTCCTGCAGGATCACTGAATTCTTCGGTACGTATTTTTCTGTTACACCTCAGCGCTCTCACGCTCGACCTGCGCGTGCCCGCCGTCGCGGTGCCCTGTCCCTTTAAGAGTCTCGTGTTGTTACAGGAAGTGTGAGGGGTGTTTCCAGCTGATCTGAACAACAGGAGGACCGGAGTCTCCCTCAGCAGTCCGACCTGTCTGTGCTTTTTTCGGGCACCTTAGCAAAGCTCGCCGGTCCTGACCTCCGGCGGCTCCTTTGCGCCGCGAAGAGACAGTCGTTCCGGGGTAAATCAGGAGGAGAGCCGGGGGCTTATTCTCGTCCGATAGCCGTGAGCCGGGGCCGTCGGAAGCTGTTAGCTCGGACTGTCATGATCCCAGCTCGGAGATGGCGTCCTTCCCCGGTTTGTGTAAGGCTGTCGGGCCCGCGGAGGAGGAGAACGGGGAGCTGGACGGATCCCTGCAGCAGATGCTGAAGGCCATCGCGGACGAGAGGAGCCGCCTGAACAGCCGACAGGAGATCAGCGGCATCGGTGAGTGTCTGCGGGCTTCTTCGTATCCACACAGGCAGCACCTGAACTCCCGTGAGCAGGGATGAGCCCTCTGACGTGTTTCAGGCTGGCTCTCATTTATCTGTGGGTCTGGTTTACTTTGGAGCAGGGCCGGATCTATCTGCTGAAGGCCCCCGGGGCTGTACTCTGGTGTTGGGACCCCGTGAAGACCCAAACACAGTGCTCTCCTCGCTTTCTAACCCAGCAGATGTTTCCATGTTTAAGCATTGGTGGACATTTCTTTAAACTAAAAACTAAAGACAGGTGCGAAAAGGTTTTTTAGTTAACCAAAAAAGTCTAAAAATGCACATGCTGTTCAAACAGGGTTCGGGCTTAGAGCCACAGCGCACAGTGGAGTTTTAAAAATACAGTAAATAACTGTCAATGTTAAATAAGAAATTGCAGGTCCTCTAGTGTCCACCAGAGGCTCCAGCAGTGAACAAATGTCCAACTTTACAGCAGAATAAAAGCCCCAAAATATTGGAGTGATTATAAAATAATGATCTGAAGGCAGCTTTGATCAATAAAAATAATAACTGAATTAATGTAATGACATTTATGGTTAATTTTCTAAACTCTGAGCTCCACAAAGGTCAGAAATCTGTTTTCTGAGGAGGACCTGAATGTCTCCTGTAATGACCTCAGCTGCCGTGGATCCTCCATCTCTATGTATCTCTTTTTTGCAAGGACTGTGTCGAGTCCTCGTGACTGCCTTGTCGCCCGGTCCTCGTCACGAGCCTCGTTGAAAATAAAAATGAAAGTTGATCTTTGCTCCGGCCTGCGTTTGCCGCCAACATCGTCGGAGCGCCGCTCCGCCTGTTTCTGCTGCTCATTTGTTCTGATGGATAAATCAATGAAGCTCTGTTCACAGCACATGACTTCATCACAGCAACTTCACTGTCATCACCAGGAGCAGAGCAAATGTTAGACACTGCAGTGCTACCTCTGCTTCGTGTCATCATACAGTCTCGAGCCAGGCCTCATTTCTTTCTTTCTTTTCCACTGTATTAAACTAAATAGAAATCAGAGTTTGTACAAATCTGATGAGCTTGAAAGCTGATCTGTGGTCTGACCACATTATTTCCTCCTGTCATTACAGAGATGAGCCTGGTGTAACACTGGTCTTGGGTCTTTTCAGATTCTGATCATCTGCTGTAGATGGTTTTTAGGCCTCACTCTTCTTCTTTTGTCCTTCACTTGTCCACTTTTCCTTCTTTTAAAATAAATAAATAAATAAAATTATTTTTCTATTTTTTTTTTTTTTTTTAGGACACACCACGCTGAGATAATCTAGGTCTTCAGCTCTTTGAAAATCACCTTGTTAGTACAAAAATCGTATCGATGTTAACCTGTTTTATCTTTGGCACATTCTCATTTCTTTAACAGAACTAAAGAAATGAAGTGTTTCAGGGATCATCTGGTAATAAAAGACATGATTAAATGATTTGTTGCTCAGGTGGCCATCATGTGCAGTTGCAGCACTGGTTCATCCTTGAATTTGGAGCCTTTTCATGTTTGAATGATTCACAGGTCAGAGGATTAACAAACACGATCCTATGGAAATGCTCTGGTACGAGGACTGGACTGAAAAGAAGTGAAAAAGCAGCCAGTGTCCAAAGAAGAACTTGTACTGCTGTTTAAGAGCACTTTAAAAATTCACAGAAACTCTTGACTCCTTAAAAGCAAAATATAATGAGTTTTGGCTCAAGACTTCTGCACAGTATCGCAAACTAAACATTGGATCTTCGAGCGTTGATCACATGAAACATCCTCAACTTAAATAATAATGAAACCAGTTGATGCAGTTTGACTCTACGTGTTCCTCAAGGCTGTGGCTTCAACTTCATTATTCATGGTTTTATAATACAGTGGACCGTTTATTAGCTGAACTCAAGGAGAGAAAGTCAGTCTGTGTTAGTTTTATATTTAAGGCCACAAACACAATTATTTAAACTGAGCTAATTTTTAATAGACTCTGGATTAGTTTACAGTGACACAGATCTATTTTTTCTGAATAAGAGCAGGTTTCCAGACTAATCGATCGATAACTTAAATATCGTAGAGAAGAGGAGTCTGTGGATACGTCACAGCGTGTGTGTGACACCTGCGGTATTACACACACGCACGCACCCCTGTGGTGTCACACAGGGCAATATTTAACGGTAAAGACTGTACAGTGGGGCTGGAGGTGCTCCTGTTTCTTCATGCAGACTCTGTCGTGTCCTTGGATGCTCCTCTGCAGGCGGCTGGTGGTGACTCAGGTCTGATCCGACAGTGACTCAGGTCTTTGCTCTGATCACAGAATAACTCGGATCAGTCTCTCAGACGCAAAAACATGGTGATGTCGCTAAAAGCATGGTGAGTATATAAGCTCACACACAGCTGACAATCACGACAGCTGACTCAATAAGGAAACTGAGGTTTTTCACATTAAAAGCCTAAGGGATGTGCTTACAGTTCTGTTTTTGCTCGTTTACACAGTAAGAATTTATTTTATTTTAGCTTTTATGATAAACCATGAGCTGAACATGCTTCAGATATTTCACTTACCAAGCTCTTCACAGGAAATGATAACCAGCTGCCTCCCTCCTCCATGTTGGGGAAACGTCCTCCAGCTCGCCGCTGAGCCATCACTATCAGACCGTGGGCGGAGAGGCTCTCTGGAGAGTCAGCTGAATGAAAACACGGGAGAGGAAGGGGAAAGGCGAGCTGAGTATAGCGGCTGAACTTTCAAAATAAGAGCATAAATCCATTGCAGCTAGCGTAGCTCTTGGGGCAAAGCTCCACCTGGGCAGTCCACACAGGTGAGGTCTGTGTGTGGTGACAAGTGGCATGATGTCAGCTCCGGCAGCACCTCTGCTGGGTTAATGAGCAGCTCAGAACTCTGGGTGTGACTATTATTCTGCAGCCACACCTGAATAAACACAGCTGCTGAAAGTTTGATAGAAAATAGAAAAACATGGAGGGCGATTAGACCGCCTCGGTGCTTTTTATCGGTTGGTGGCGGCTCGTATAATTTGAATACGAGCTCTTATTTGAGAATTCACGGTCTGAACTATAAATACTCGCTGAGGCAGTGAAGCGGCAGCCAGGCGAGGCAGAGAGATGAACATGAATGATTTAGCTTTAATTACCTCCTGCTGTAAATACTCTGACATCAGCGCAGCTTTCACGCTGACGCTAACGGTGAGAGCGTCCATCGATCGTCTGAGATCTGCTCTTCAGGAACTGTGGTGCAGAGTTACCGCCGATCTGACCGTGACTCGCTCTCTGCTGACAAATTATTACAAATCCTGCTAAATATTTAATGAGGCCGCAGTCCGAGTCCGTGCAGAGGTGGTTGAAGTGCTCCAGTTTGTGTCTACGTGCACATATGTGTGTGACCGCAGGACGTCACAGCAGCTCCAAGCTGTGTACAGTCTGTCTGTGGAGTGGACTGTTGGAGCCAGACTGTAAAGGTTTAATGTACAGGACCAGTTGTTACCGTCGATTTCCTTTAATAAGCGAATGGGAACATCTCAGTGCTGCGTTTATTTAGCCGATTGGTTTTTAGCTTTAATTTATGTAAGACTGTAAACTTTGAACTTCTAGACAAAGGTTTTTGTAATTTGTTTAACAAAAAGTAAAATCAGACCTGTTTGGATCATTTTCAGAGTAGCTTTGCATGATTCACAGTTTAAAATAATCCTGTATTTATTCCCGAGCCTTGCTTTAAAACTGTATTTCCCAGATCGTTGGTGAGGGGTTGCTTGAGGTCACTGGCTGGTTTCAGCGAGGGTGACAGCAAAACAAACCTCCCTGTGGCTGCTTTGGTCAGTAGAAGATTGCTGCGGTCTCGTGTAGCTGGTGTGAAAGAGTTTCACTCAGTGTGTCTGCAAACACAAGTGTGACACTGGAAATGTTCCTTACCACTGTGACTTTAGTGACCCTCAGTGCGCTCAGAAAGAACATGTTGATTATATTTAAAGCACAGTCTGTGTAACCTTTTAATTTAATATTCCAAATATTTCCACCCAGCTTTGGGTTTGCCTCCAATGTTGGAGAGGAAGCTAAGCTTAGCTGTGTTGGCTTCATCACGTCAAAGTCAGCTTTGTGGTCGTCATACTGATGCTCAGCTGGATGGTACGCCAACGCTCTCTCAGCTGCCGTACAACATCTGTGACATGCAGATTGTATCAGAGCAGAATGAGCGCTGGCCAGTCAAAGGTTGTAGGTGTGAGTATTTGCATTTTTCTTTAAGTACATTGGAGCTTAATTACGAAGCACTTTCAGACGTTTGGCCTCAGTGGCTCAGGCGTTGCAGAGAGTCTCGCTGGTTCATTCGGCGCTGGTGCGTGCACTTTGTTCATCCTTTCATCCAGGTCACTGGAGCTTCGAAAGCACATCACACAGGATTATATAACTGTCATGAAAAATGCAGCAGGCCTACCACGGCTCATGATATTTCTACCCACTGCTGCAGAGAGATTTGGGGTGATTCAGCTCACTTTCCTCAGATGATGAGTGATAGTGCGCCGGGCTTCATAACACAGTTGATGTATTTTTAAAATGGCATATGCAGCTATAAATAGAGCTGGACTTTTATCAACGTCCCAGAGGCTCCTGCAGAACTGTACTCTGCTTCAGTCAGCTGTGAGCCTTTAACACCTTTAAACAACACTCTGAAGCCCAGGTGACATTATAACAAGATACAACAAGATACCTGGGTGAGTTTAAACTAAATGACACTGTTCAGCACATCAAGGCTGACTCATCCTCGACTCAAATCAGAATACATTTCCTTGAATGTAATTCATACATTACAGTGAACCTTCACGAGATGATTTTGTCTTTTACTGTTCTCTGGTTCATGACGTCATCATCTTCACCTTCGTTGCAGTGTGAAGCTGTGATTTCAGGGATCTGCAAGTGGGGTTATGTCACACTCAGACATGGTCACAGTTTCTGTCATAAAATCTTTTCATGAAAGACTTGATCTAATCGATTATGCGGACTGCTTAGTATGACATACGTAGTAGCTAGTGATTTTCATGATCATGTCAGCAGAAGTGGTTCATATGGGACTCAGCAGGGTCATCGACATATGTCATGAGAAGTTGTTGAAGACCCCAAAAAGTTTGAACATGCTGGTTTTCAGTCAGGATGATGTAAGGCAGCGCTGGTTTTCTTTCATTCGTGTGTGTGTGTGTGTGTGTGTGTGTGTGTGTGTGTGTGTGTGTGTGTGTGTATATATATTTTTTTTTTAATTTAACCTTGATTTATACAGGTATTCCCATTGAGACACAATATCTCATTTACAGGAGAAACCTTTTTTGGACAAACAATTATCACACCAAAGGAAAAAAACAACTTTTTAGTGGGATTTAAAGAGAGCTGGGGGCTCTCTGGGTAAGTTTGGCCATTCTTTGGGTGGTTGGAGTGGTAATAGAGGTCCTTAACATCCATTAGGTGGTTTACGTTGTCATCAGGAGAAACTGAAACATGCTAGTCTTTTAGTGGCATGTTATGTGGTGTCGCAGCATTGGTCTTCTAAAACATTTAGTGGTCATTATCATTCCTGATCTGAACCATTGGTTCAGTCTTCTGCATCTGACCATAACTAGGCTGATCTCGTATATCCTGAACCTGCCGTGGTTAGTTCCTTTAGGAGGTTTTAGTAAGATTTCAAGACAATTGTAGTCAAACTTTTGTTGGTTCCAGCGGCAAGAAAGAAGGTTTGAGTTGCCATTAGGGAGGTTTGAAGAATCCTTTGGCTCTAATTATAAATGTGATTCAATAGGTAGTTTTAGGAGTTCTAGAGAAAATGTAGGTGCTTCCTTTAGGTCTATATGTGGTTCAAGTTCTCTTGTAGGAGGCCTTTTGGTATAGTTTAGGTCAGGGGTGTCGAACTCCAGGCCTCGAGGGCTGGTGTCCCGCAGGTTTTAGATATCGCCCCGTTTCAACACACCTGAATCAAATTATTAGTTCATTACCAGGCTTCTGGAGAACTTCAAGACATGTTGAGGTGATAATTTAGCCATTTAAATCAGCTGTGTTGGATCAAGGACACGTCTAAAACATGCAGGACACCGGCCCTCGAGGCCTGGAGTTTGACACCTGTGGTTTAGGTATTGTTGGAGTCACTACAAGGTTGTATGGAGCCTTTATTGGTCTCTGTTCAGGTTTTCAGTGGTTCAGGGTTTGCTCTCTCAGATGATTTTTTTTTTTTTGTTTTGTTTTAGGAACCTTTCGGATTTCTAGAGTTATCCCAAACACAGTCGTCTGGGCTCCAGAGTTTCACAGCAAATACTCCGAGGATATTTAAGGATATTGGTAAACAGCTACACCTCTGGCATGATAGGTGGATCTTAAATGCAAAATCTGGGCTGTTTGGTGTTCACATGTGATTAAAACAACAGCCAACAACACAAGGTGTGGCAACAGTTGACGCTGCACCGTCATCAAAACCCTGGAAGAATGTGGTTTGTCCTTCCTGCAGAGCTGCCGTTTTAAAGTACCAGAAATTAAAGGACTGATGGTCAAGTATGAGATGCTGAGGTTTAATAAACTATGCTGGCTGTGAGGCGTGGTTTAAAGTTACTGAGTCATTACTCTGACTGTAGTTACCTGATATTGGAGCCTGAGTTAAGGATTTCTTTTGGCTGGTTCAGTGCTTCCTGTTGCTCTTTGGAGCTTCTTCTGCTTGGGTTGCCAGCAGGTCGTGTTCACTGACTCACCCCCCGTCTGGGGAAAACATCCCTCATGCCAAGCGTGACTGGATGAAGGCCAGAGGTCACTTCCTTTCTACAGCCAGCGGCTCTGCTTGGCTGCTGCCATAGCTTGGAGGTGTTGACTTGTGTGAGATGTGAACAGCTTTAAGCAGCAGCCTAAACATTAATTCACACACTTGAGTTTCAGCTGTAAACTCTGAATAATGACTGCTGACATCGGGTACTAACACCACAGAGGAAGTTTTAGTCCTTTTATAGGAGCGCAGAGTTAAACATGAGTAATTCGGAGAGGCTAGACAACAAGACCACAAACACCCATCTTGGGGTGCTTGTCATCAGAGAAGCTTAATTACTTCTGCAGTAATGGCCTGTATTTATATAGCGCTTTACTAGTCCCTAAGCACCCCAAAGCGCTTTACATATCCAGTCATCCACCCATTCACACACTGGCGATAGTAAGCTACATTGTAGCCACAGCCACCCTGGGGCGCACTGACAGAGGCGAGGCTGCCGGGCACTGGCGCCACCAGGCCCTCTGACCACCACCAGTAGGCAACGGGTGAAGTGTCTTCCCCAAGGACACAACGACCGAGACTGTCCAAGCCGGGGCTCGAACTGGCAACCTTCCGATAACAAGGCGAACTCCCAACTCTTGAGCCACGATCGCCATGTCAGTTCTTTATGAGATGTTTATTTATGAGAAGTACCATTTAAAAGAAAAAAAAAAAGAAAAAATTGTATTTACCTACCAGAACCAGTGATAAGTATTCATTTATTTCCATTATTTGCAGGTTTATTCAGACTCGTCCTCTCAGTCACTCTAAATTAAACCCATAAGAAGTGTTTGTACAATTACTCTGGTTTCATCTTCATCTCAAATTAAATTAAAGCCTGAACAAATCAAAGCAAACGAAGTTTATCCTCCTGGACCGACATAGAGTTAAACTAATTCATTTAATATCTGTGAAATTTAATGAAATGCCAATACACCATCATGGAAGGGCTTTATACCCACATCATGTGGGTTGGTTACTCCTCGTCATGCTGTGTCTCCTTTAACTTTGTACTGATCTTAGAATATTTAGAATTTGATTTTAATTTTAATTGGATATACAGCAAAAGAAAATAAAAGGCTACTTATAAAATCTAGAAACAGAATAAAATCTTAAAGTCTGATCTGATCTTTAGAGAGGGGGACTTTTTAAACAGATGGGAGGTAAAATAGACAATATAGATATATTTATAGCAGAAGGTAATTAAACATTAAACAGGCTAAAAAATAACTGCGGACAGCCGTGTTAAAACTTTTACAGCAGAAATAAAGATGTTTACACCCTGATGCACAAACTGTTTTGGTTTCTAGAGAGAAGTTCCAGCTTCACAACAACTTTTACCAAGGAATAAAGAGGAAGTAAAAGAGAGGAATAGTAAGAAAACTGTCACTATTTGCAGATGACAGTGTTATTTATTAGAAAAGAGGAAGATTGTAATTGTTTATCTGAGACTGTAATATCAGGAGTCAGAAACAAATATAACTTGTATTAGGGCTTAAAGTTTGCATGATTAGGGGCGTGGCCTCTTTAACTGACTGGGTGGATGGTGACACAGATGGCTGGAGCTGCTAGCTGTCTGCTAGGCTCCACCTCAGCTAATTGGAATCACTGAACTGGCCCTCTGGATCATGTTTGTGCTGTTGGAGCCTCAAGGATCTCAAAACTGGATTATAGATGGCAGACAGTTGGTGTCGTAAGCCACCGCCTCTGTTCAAAGATTGTCG